GGGGGGGGGGGGCGAGCATATAAATATATATATATATACGCATGCATACATACGTACCTGGCCAGGAATCATTTGGATATTGTAGGGCCTTAGGCCGTTTTCGGGGTGAAGAGCCCCGGCTGCATGATGCAAAACACCAAGAAATCAAGCCCTCCACGCACCACCCTCAGCCACCAGCGTGTCGTGATGGTCGTTGGGTCAGAGTGCCCAAATGCCCCCAACTGCTCCATGCATGAAATCACGGGGAACGTGCTAGATAGGTTCAGAATTGCCTAGTGTTACGCGCACCCATACAGGTACAATGTTGGCCCACTAAAGTTTGAAGGTCTGTTCTCGATTAGCATGGTTACGCTCAACTAGCCAAGATCAGAGTAGAACAGCAGGCGTTCACGGTCATCAAAATCAGACAAGCGGCCACTCTCTCCTTCCAAAACCCGGGCCCTTAGAAGTTCAATCTTCTCCAAAGCAACGAGAAGCAAGTATTTCAGCCACAAAACGGATCCCCCCAAGATCCCATATCCCCTACACCGTAAACCCCAACCCAATTATGGCCGAGCAACCCCCAAAGCCCCAAAAGAACCACAATTAAGTTGGCTTCATATTGCAAAAAGATCGAAAGTCAACCTCCAAAGCCCCAAAAAGAACCACAATTCAGTTGGGTTCATATTGCAAAAAGATCGAAAGTCGTTTAGGAACACACGGACCCGTCGCCAATCTCAGACCCTAGCCCGGTTGAGCTGGCTGTGCGTTCTTTGATCCTGGCCAGGACCCATATAAGGCTTGCGGTGTACAAGTTCATCAGACATTATCAGGGGAATAGGGGCGAATTCGGGATTCTTGGACCCACAGGGAAGGGTTATTGTCTGCTTTCTTGTTTGCGTATGGGACTGGGCATTAGCCTTGGGGCTGCGGCACAAGCGAGTTTTTGCACCATACCGCTATACCTCTCTTTCTACTTTCGTTGTCTCGACTTGAACCATCTTCGGATCCAGAGATAGGAAACATACGCAAATCATTCGGTTTAGGGATCCCTAAACCCTAAACCCTAGCCCCCTCGCCTCTAGAGCCTCCAAAAGCTCAGTGTAAGTTCCTTCTATTCCTGTTGCATCCGACACTGGAACCACAGGTCTGAGCGCCAATGCCTTAGGGCCTTTAGGGTTTAGGGCTTAGGGCTTTAGGGCTTCAGGGGTTTAGGGGTTTAGGGTTTAGGGATGGGTTTAGGGTTTAGGGCTTCCGGGTTTAGGGTTCAGAGTTTAGGGTTCAGCATGGGGCTCAAGAGTTCAGAGTTCAGGGCTCAAGGGTTTAGGGTTTCCTCAATGGACTCGAGGTCAGGGCTCACCGGTTCGCATGTGGGGTTGAGAGCTCGGGGCTCAGAGTTGGACTGTCCAGCGTAGTTCGAAGTTCATATAGCTAGAATAAGGAAACCCCCGAAACAGTATTGGTAATCTTGAGGTCCCTATTTTGTACATCAGTGCGAAGTTCATAAACGAGGCTTGGACACTACATCCCATGCGGTAAAATCGGACGCCTGCTCACATCATGCCGCATTTCTTGCGAGAAGATCTCACGGTTCCTTGCGAAGCCACAGCTTGCGTCGTCTATACATCTTCTACCAACGATGCCAGTTAAGAACCGAGGTCTCGGAAACCGCCATCAGTCGTGTTCACATTCATGCGGTCCTGGTAAGCATCCAAACCCTAAGCACTCAACACTAAACCAAGCTGATCGAACAGACGACAGTATAGATCCCTCATCCCTATACCCTAAGCCGACATACCCCAAACCCTAACCCCACATCCCTCCACCCTAAACCGACTCTGGTCCTGCAGCCAAGACAATCCACTCACTGGCCTTAGGTGTTTAAACTAACCCCAGAACCCATACCAATGTAGGGGCTTTCATAATTGAAACTAGGATGTGGGGCCATAATCCGTAGAATCTACTCCTCGCAAAACAAGGCCGCTCAAAACTGTGACGCCCGCCACATCATAAACCCTGAACCCTAAACCCCAAACCCAATTCTTCCGAATTCCCACGGAGAGTCGGTCCAAAGGCTGGGTTCAGAGTAAGAAACCGTACGCCTAAACCCCTGCATGCGAGAAAGGGCCCTGATAAGTAGGATCGGGGTATATAGTTGTACTAACTGTTCAGATCCCTCTGTCTGCTGATGTAGGGGCCTTAACAATTAGAATAGGGTGTTGGGGTCTATTACACTATAATTGTTAAGGCCCCTACAGTACCCTGAACCCTGAAGCCAGTATCTCTTCTGAGGCTCTGGCGCTACACGGCTGGATGGTGGCTGCTCGATTGACTCCTGTGGATCCGCCTGCTGCGGTCAAAACCACGAGTGCTGGGATCCAGTGAGACCTAGAGTTTATGAAATGGGACTAAACCCGAAACCCTAAACCCTAAGCCCTAAACCTCTAAACCCTAAACCCGAAACCGTAATAGGGGCCTGAAGGCATCGTAGCAGTCCTCGTGAGCCCTTTGGATTGGTGCTATGCGATGATCAGTACCGACCTGATGCACATCTTCGCCACCATCTTGGTGCTGATGACCCTAAACCCTAAACCCTAAGGGTCTAGGGTTTAGGGTTTAGGGTTTAAGGTTTTTGGTAGTGATGCCGTGGGCAATGGTGGCACTGTGAGTGTGGTGATGGCCGTGGTGACGACGAGGAGGATAGGCTTGTTTCGGCGCCCGGCAATAAGAACCAGCCATGTCATGAGGCTATCGTGCTTGTTGGGGCTACGGGTCAAAACATGTCTGCTACTCTCAATCAGAACCACAGACTACCCGGAATGCTGAGTTTGGGTCTTCGGGTATGCAACGAGGTTTAGGGCTCAAGTTTAGGGGTTCCCGGTGCACCGTGGGGTTTAAGGGTTCTGTGTTGAAGGGTTTGGGGAACGCAAGTTGGGCGGGTGTGAAAGCTGGGAACAGTACGGAAACTAACAGTGCGACAGGCTGGCTAGGGGATAGATGAAAAAAAAACAACTACTGCTGATGATATAAAATCCTGCATTGCCTCAATTAGGCCCTAAACTCTGGGACTTATGGTATATTCCTTATTATGGGTAATGCAGTATTTATATCATCAACTGTAGGCATCCTCGGATCTGACAAGGCTGCTGCCTATAATTAGTCTCCATTGTATTTCCCGTTGTAGGTTCAACCAGCTACCTTACAACCCTAATACCCTAAACCCTATTTAGGATCCTATAAGGTAACCCCACAACCCTAAACCCTAAACCCTAAACACTAGAACGGAGACTATAGGTATGATTGTCCTGGTGTTCGAGGGTATCAGGCGTTCGGCGTCGGCCGAAGGGCCAGTGGAAAGGACAAAAAGGCTGCTTGGCGCACGCTAATGTAGGGGCCGTTATAATTTTAATAGGGTTTTGGGAGTTCCTTATCATAATTGCAGTACAGTATACCCCAAACCCTATTCTCATTATTGAGGCCCCCGTATTCGGCCGCAGTGAAAGTCGCCTGTCTGCGCCATGTAAGAGGCGCGGCAGTAGTCGACAGTAGCCACGTTCTGGGCTCAACTGTCCCAGCCTCTTCCCCCAAGCGTCCAACGGGCCCAATGACCAGGCAAATGGCTTCGCATACTATACCTCACACCGAAAACCAACTTCTGGGCTTAAGGTACGTAGTGTCCACGATTTTCAGGAGTTTCGAAAACATGGAACATCGCCGCATATGCCTGGTCCGTAAAGAAGTGCATTCCCTAAACCCTAAACCCACTAAACCCTAAACACAAAACCCTCTAAACCCTAAGCCTCAATTTTCTGGCCTGGCAAAAGCCAGAAGACCTATCCGAATCATCTAGCCCGACCAAACCAGCCAAGCACAAGTCGGTTTCGGGCTTAGGGGCTTTAAGGGTTTAGGGGCTTCAAGGTTAAGGGTTTAGGAGTTTTGGGGTTTAGGCTTCAGGGTTTGTAGGGTTTAAAAGTTTAGGGGTTTGGGGCTTCGGGGTTTTAACCCCCGCGTCGCTGCACCCCCCTGGAGTTAGTAATTGTTTAGGGTTTAGGGTTTAGGGTTCAGGGATGCTACAAGAAAACGTCAAAGTAGAACAAACAGGAACTACATTCTCAAGGCCGAACGAAGTGCACGGCGTCAAACCCGAAAACGGCAAATTTGAGACTCCAACACCCTCACAGCAGCTGGAAGTTCAAGGTTTCGAGCCCGGCCTAGCTGAGATAAGGGCTTTAAGAATTAGAATGAGGGCTTGGGGCTTCCTTATTATAACTGTAGTATACCTTACCCCCCAAAACCCTATTCTACTTATTGCGGTCCCTATATGAAGATAGGATTTTTTTGAGGTTTGGGGCTCAAGGCTTTCGGGCTAAGGCCTTCGTATGGGCCTGAATACTTAATACTGTTCCTGAGGGCTCCCTACCTAAACCCCCCATAAGTAGGCAAAATAATGGCCCAAAGCCTATAAAAGGCTATTATTCTACATACTTTTAGGGTCCAGGTAGTGCAAGACTTCCAGGTAATTCCGACTCCTACATTTAGGTCGATTCAGGGTTTAGGGGTCAGGGTTTGGGTTTAGGGTTTAGGTTTTAGGTTTAGGGTTTAGGGTTTAGGCTTTAGGGTTCAGGTCTTCAGTGCTTATGGTTGTGCTGCCCTGTGATTGCCTTTTGCGGCTCCCGCGGAGTCAACTGTGGCGGGTCAGCTTGGTCCCTGGCAGCTGCAAGGTTCTGCAAAGGCCTTACCCGAACAGCCCTCGACCAGGTAAATGTCTATATATATATATATATATTTATTTATTTATTTATTTGTTTTTTATTTATATATTGTATTTATACAGACATGATTGAAGAACAATAGAAAATAATCATCAACAAGCGAGAACAACTAAAACACTAGGCCCAACATAGTTTAAGGAGTATATCAGGGCATACTGCCACAAACAATCGGAATTTACAAAAACAAACTGTGGGTATGGGCGCTCTGGACAATCTCAAACTTAGGTTGCTGCCTGCCCTAAACCCTAAACCCTAAACTCCTAAACCCTAAACCCTGGGCACAAAATCTTACTCATCCCATTACGGGTTAAGGGGGCAGGGCGCAATGGACTAGGCCATGAAGTCGTAGTCAGCCCGACAAGCAAACACCACGCCAGGGGGGGGGGGCCTAAACCCTAAACCCTAAGGGGGGCTACGGCTCATTGCAGACCTGGGGGAAGGATTCGGGGAAAGGTCGCACTCATTAGGGGGAGTGGGTCGGAGGCGATTGCTGTATAGCTGCGGTAGATGGATGTCTACCTAAAGTCTCAAAGGGACTCAAAGAGACAGCCTTATGGGAACCCCTATAAAGGAACCCCTAAAGGAGGCCGTTTAAAGGGACGCTTGCATGAACGCCTAAGGGGACCCTACCTATAGTCTCCGTTGCAGTTCCTCTTTGGGGTTACTTTATAGAATCCTGAATATATAACTGGTTTAAGAAGGAACTACAATGGAGACTATAGTGACTATATATAGGTATTCTGACGAGATGTGGTTCAGCTATTTTTCCAATAGTCACCACTTCGGAACTATGGGAACCTTGTCCATCAGGGAGGGATCAGAGAGAGATAGTGAGCGAACCGCTCGGGTGCTTTTAATGTCGCCATTGAATATAGCAACCGAATTCGACCGCGGATTTGACCAGTAAGTATCTTGAATCCTGTGTAAATTAGACCCCTGAAGATTATAGACCCCAAGCGCTTAACCCAGACCAAAGCCCCCCACAAGAAACTCTCTCTCTCTCTCTCACACACACATATATATGCTACCCCCCCCCCTC